TATTATGAATATATTATATATTATATTAGAAATATATTATATATTATAAACAATATTATAATAGTATTAAAATTATTAATAATGATATATTAAAATATATATTTGAAATCTATTCTATATCATAAATATATTTTATATTATAAATAAAATTATAAATAATAATATTATTAAAATTATTATTGATAATATTAAAATAATAAATCAAGCCTTCTCAAACATAGAGTCAAATCCTATCTCTTCCCTCATCTTTAGACCCCTGTGAACACAGTCACAACCTCCAAGCCCTCAGCTGCACCAGCCACCCTCCAGAGGTCCCCCCCAGATCCTCTGGTCCCCCTCTGGTCCCCCTCTGGTGCTCAGGCTCCAGGAGTGTCCCCCCATCCTGGGCTATGGGGCTTGGGGACAGGGGCAGTGTCACTCACAGCACTCCTCAGGATTCTCGTCTGAGTTGTCCCCACAATCGTCCTCCCCGTCACACTTCCAGGCCAGGGGCTTGCACAGGGTGTTGTTGCACTGGAACTCGTCCAGGGGACACGTGCGGACTGTGACAGGGCAAGGGGGACATGTCAGTGCAGCAGGGGACATGGCAGGGCAAGGGGGGACATGGCAGGGCAAGGGGGGACATGGCAGGGCAAGGGGGTGATGTGTCAGTGCAAGGGGGTGATGTGTCAGTGCAACAGGGGATGTGTCAGGGCAAGGGGGACATATCAGAGCAAGGGGGAAAATGTCAGTGCAAGAGGGGACGTGTCAGTGCAAGGGGGGACATGGCAGAACAACAGGGGACACATCAGTGCAAGAGGGGACATGTCACTGCAAGAGGGGACACGTCATCTCATGCTTCCCTCCTGCCAAACCCCCACCCTGGGGCTGCAATTCCAATTTCCCACATGCACAGGGGGTCTCCAGAGCTGAGGCATTTCCATGTCCGCGCACGCTCCAGATTGGGACACACACACAGAGCAGCACTCCCACCCACAGCAGGGACACAGTGACACCAGGGCAGGGATTGGGGGACACCAGCAGCCCGGGGGACACCCAGCAGTGCCATTACCCCCTGTGCCACAGTTCTCCTCGTCGCTGCCATCCATGCAGTCGGCGTCGGCGTCGCAGCGCCAGCGCATGGGGATGCAGTGCCCGTTCTTGCACTTGAACTGGTCAAACTCGCAGCGAGGGGTGCAGTCTTTCTGCAGGGGACAAGCAAGGGACACAGTGGGCATGGCAGGCCCCTGTGCTGTTGCCACAGCCCCAGGGCAGGGGCAGAAGGGAGGNCACTGGTGTCCTGCCCCCATCTCTCCACTGCTCAAGCAGCACCCTTTGGACATGTTCTCTTCCAGGCTTCCAGCTTCATGCCTCCTCTCTGAATATATATTACAGTTTCCATGTGCTGTGAAAGCCATGACACCTCCTGTGGCCAGGAGAGCAACCAAGGAGCGCAAATGGCAGCAGATGTCACCAGAGCCAGCACTGGTGTCCTGTTCCCATCTCCCCACTGCTCAAGCAGCACCCTTTGGACATGTTCTCTCCCAGTTTCATGCCTTCTCTCTGAATATGTACCACCGTTTCCATCTCCTGATGTGCTGTGAAAGCCTCCTGTGGCCAGGAGAACACACTGAGGAGCACAAAGGGCAGTGCAAACAGCAGCAGATGTCACTGGTGTCCTGTCCCCATCTCCCCACTGCTCAAGCAGCACCCTTTGGACATGTTTCTCTCCCAGGCTGCCAGTTTCATGCCTTCTCCCTGAATATGTACCACAGTTTCCATCTCCTGATGTGCTGTGAAAGCCATGGAACCTCCTGTGGCCAGGAGAGCACACCAAGGAGTCGGGCAGCACAAAGGGCAGCAGATATCACCAGAGCCAGCACTGGTGTCCTGTCCCCATCTCCTCACTGCTCCAGCAGCACCCTTTGGACCTGAGCAGCATTTCAGAGCTGCAGTGGCAGAGCGGAGGGAGCAGGATCAGCCCCCCTCACTCACCGCAGTCCTTCTCATCCGTGTTGTCTCCACAGTTGTCGATCCCGTCGCACTGCCGACCGATCCACAGACACACGCGGTCGTTCTTGCAGCGGAACGGTCTGTTGGGGGGACACTGGAATTTCACTGCACCAGCAAACAGAAACAAACGGTGACGGTGAAAGGAGACGCCGGAGCCAGGCTGTCACACATGTCACACGAGCTGCCGCTCGGCCTCTGCCCCCGCTCAGCTCTCCGCTAAGGGCTGTCCCACGCGGCCCAGCGGGCTCCGGAGGCTGAAGCAAAGAGACTGAAGCAGAGATAATCTGGCTGCTGTGAGCCCTCTCCTCACCCAGCCCACTCCCCATCACCAGCCGCTCAATCAGAGTCACCTCCTGACACAGACATGGTTTATGAAGAATCCTTTCCTTAGGATTTTTTCTCCTAAGAAACTGAGGGGACATGTCAGTCCTCCCTCCTTATCACCAGCCCCTCAATCAGAGTCACCCCCTGACACAGACATCTTCGATGAAAAATCCTTTACTTAGGATTTTTTCTCCTAAGAAGCCAAGAGGCCTCAAGAATAAAATGTGAGCATTGATTATCTGCTGCTGTGGAATGCAACAGGTGGATCTGTAATTGGTCTCAGAGTTGTTTCTAATTAATGGCCAATCACAGTGAGCTGGCTCAGACTCTATGTCCCAGACAGAAGCTTTTGTTATCATTCTTTCTTTTTCTATTCTTAGCTAACCTTCTGATGAAATCCTTTATTCTATTCTTTTAGTATAGTTTTAATATAATATAGTATATAATATATATATGTATATATATAATATAATANGTCCGTCTTCATGAAGTTCTTGGCGCAGCTGCAGACATGGGAGCCCTTGGTGTTGTTGCAGAGCTGGGAGCAGGTCCCAAAGCGCAGGCACTCGTTGATGTCTGGGCAGGGGGAGGTGGAATCAGGGAAAGAACAAAAAACTGCCCCCACAGACCCCAAGGACACCATCCTTGCCACCCCACCCCATCCCAGCTGCGAAATCACATCTCAATGGTAAAAAACAGACCTCACAAACTGACTCTGACCCCTCTCCAGCAGCAGTAAGAAGTACCTTGGCAAAAATTCGTGTCTGGAACCTTCTGGAAGCCTATACAGCAGGTGCAGTAGGAGGTGGACCGGGACTGGACACAGTGGGCCTCATCCCCACACATGGTGGTGTTGGACACAGTGGGCCTCGTCCCCAACATGGTGGTGTTGGTCATTCCCACACATGGTGGTGTTGGACACAGTGGGCCTCATCCCCAAAATGGTGGTGTTGGACACAGTGGGCCTCGTCCCCAACACGGTGGTGTTGGACACAGTGGGCCTCATCATCACACATAGTGGTGTTAATCATCCCACACATGGTGGTGTTGGACACAGTGGGCCTCATCCCCAAAATGGTGGTGTTGGACACAGTGGGCCTCATCTCCACACGTGGTGGTGTTGGACACAGTGGGCCTCATCCCCACACATGGTGGTGTTGGCCACCTCAGCCCCATCCCAGCTATGAAATCACTTCTCACTGGTAAAAACCGAACTCCATAGCCCAATCGTGAAGCCTCTCCAGCAACGCACCTTGGCAAAAATTCTTGTCTGGCACCTTCTGGAAGCCTCTACGGCAGGTGCAGTAGGAGGTGGACTGGTACTGGACACAGTGGGCCTCATCCCCACACATGGTGGTGTTGGTCTTGCAGTCGTATGACTTGTGCTCTGTGGTGGGGACACGTGTGTCACACGCATGTCACAGTGAGTTCCCCCCAGTCCCCACCATGACCCCCAGCTCCCCTACCCACCGGGGGAGCAGAATTCCTCATCAGAGCCATCTCCACAGTCATCGAAGAAGTTGCAGCGGAGGTTGGCACTGATGCACTTCCTGTTCATACACAGGAACTCGTTCTTGTCCTGGCTGCAGCTCTTGGGCTTGGCCGTGGGGGACTCTGAGGGTAAGGGACAGCAGATGTGACTCCTATGTCCATGGGACCTTCTGGGGGCAGGCAGGGACTTGGGACCCTGCATCCACAACCCCGATTTTGGGAGGAAAGACCAAAAGCCAACCCCAATCCCTGATTTCGTGAGGAAAGACCAAAAGCCAACCCCAACACCTGACTTTGGGA